CTACCAGCTGAGAAGGATTCCTTAGGTGCTATAATAGGGACCAAAAAAAAAGAAAAAAAGACTGTGGCTAACTTTAGGGAATGACAACATAGTAAAAAGAAAGCATTTCAGTGCAGAGATAGAGGACTGAACAGCCTATGGTCCTGTACTGTTCTGGGCTCCACTCTGTAGTAATTTATAAATCAGAAAAGGGTGGTACGAAGCAGCAGAAAAGAAAAGCTCTGAACTGGGCCTTAAAGAATCTCCAGAAGTTAGGCTGCAAAGAAGAAGAGGAGACAGCAGTTAATAGAACATAGACATGGAAATTAAACAAGTTTTAGGAGTCCTCAACCCCTGTTACCAGTCTATGGTCTGTTAGGAACCAGTCAGCATAGCAAGGCTTCATCTGTATTTACAGCCGCTCCCCATCACTCACATTACCACCTGAGCTGAGGAAAATAAGCTCAGGGCTGCCCCTGATTTTGCATTGATGGTGAGCTGCATAATTATTTCATTATATATCACAGCATAACAATAACAGAAATAAAGTGCACAGTAAATGTAATGGCCTGAGTCATCCCCAAACCAACTCCCATTCCCTTGGGTTCCATGGAAAAACTGTGTTCCACAAAACCAATCCCTGGTGCCAAAAAAAGTTGGGGATCACTGCTACAGGGGTTGTGTTTGACAATATGAAGTTCTATAACTACATACTGAAATAGACTCAAACCGATTTTATTTTATTTAGGTGCAATGTTAGGCTATTTAAAATTGATCTGAGAGGCCACGGGCACCTGAGTCAGTTTCTGAGCAGATGAGAGAATTGTTAATAGCTTAAATTGCTAAGCCCCTTGGTTACTTGGCTAAGCTTATTTCTGTTTTAGAGTCTATATGTAGTTTGGCTTCACATACAAATTATTAGGTGGGGATTATATTGGGCTCCATCCCATAGTTTCTTACTGAAAATCTTTAATTCTCCCTTTTGGACATTTGAAAACAGGCAGAACAACTCAAGTGCATGAGAGGAACCAGGTAAGAGACTCCTCCATTTTAACCTTTTGCATTAATCATACCTGTTCCTCCCAAAATTTATATACACACTTAACAGAGAAGGGTTGTCCTTGCTTTAAAGTATTAAAAGCAAAGAAATACTGACACCCAAGCTTAGAGCTGCTGAATTATCATTAAAAGAGGGTGACCTAGAATTCATTAGAATATCAACCTTAACATCTGTTTAAAAAAAAAAAAATGAGTAGTCTCATCAGATAGGAAACATACGGGTTAAAAAGTGCAGGATTACATCAAGTTCAGAAATTTTTACACTTAGAAAGAAATACAGTTAATATCTTAACAGCTAAAGAATAATGAAATCCTGTCAAATGACATGACAGTCTGGGCGGGGGTTGCAGGTTTTCATGAGTAGCAGAAAAGACAGGTAATTTTAAGTAGGACTCCAGTTGGGCAAGCGCCTTCCCAGGGCTGCGCAAGTCTTGGAGACAGCCTGTGTGAGGGGCTTGATGTAAGGATTGTAAATAACAGGAATCAGCATGTGCCATCAGAGTTACTGTCAAGAATCCTGCCCCATTCAGGGCAGGATTGATCAGGTTTGATCCCTGGTTGGGGAGCTAAGATCTCACATGCCTCACAGCCAAAAACCCAAAACATAAAACAGAGGCAATATTGTACCAAATTCAATAAATAGTTTAAAAATAGTCCACATCAAAAAAAAAAATCTTTAAAAAAAATAAAAATAACCCCATCTCATTCAGCATCTGGATCCTTTATCTCAACAAGCAGACTAGATGTTCCTGGTATCATTTGTCATAAACAAATCATCTCCTTAACAGTAAGTCTATTTTAATATGGAAAGAGTCGAGCTAAGTACATGAGAGGAATCATAATGTTGATATTTGTGCTTTAAGGAGCTATGCATGTGCAGCATTTTAGGTATTTATAATTTTATAAATAATTTTATCCATGCAGATTAGTTTAAGTGCAATTCATAAGTGTGCAACCGACCAACAAATTTACGCTTTTGAGTTTCAGTCACAATCTCATTAAGTTTATACAGGATTGGAATATTTAAGAAAACAAGTTTCACCACATTAATAAGCTTAACAAATTAGACTGGTAGTAAAAACAACTTGAGAATATTTGTTGATTAATTGAAGTGCTGAAGAATATAAAAATATTTAATTCATAAAAACAGTGAAGAAGTTTAAAGGGAAATCTAAGTAAGTTTAAAATTGTGCCCCAAATGTTAAAGTCTTCTTAAAACTGAGTGTTAAAATTTTATAGACTTAAAAATAGAATAATAATATTTATAAAATGAACTTAAAGTTATAAGAATGGCTTACCTTTTTTCATTTTTATTGGTTTGGTCCAGGAATCCAATCACAATTCTCTGTACATCTCTTGATGCACTGCTCCAAACTTAAAGCAAACATCTCCGTTTATTGCCATTTATTTAGGAGTTCTTTTTTATTATTTCATGCATGTCCTCTATTCTCTCAACCTTCTCAATCTGGAAATCACATTAGATAGAATATAGAATTTCTGGATTTATTCTCCCTGTATATGAACTTCTCTTTCGTGCTTTTAAATCTATTGACTGCTTGTACTGGGAGAATTTGTCATTTCTCAACTTTTATTTTGGCTGCTCCTGTGGTCTCTCATGATTCTTGCATCACCTTCTTACTCCACATCCGAGATATGATCATTACAACCTCAGCTTATGAGCTCTGGGTGACGTGATGAGGAGGACACCAAGATATCCATAACCTGATCTCCTGCTTCAACAATGAGCATGCAGTTGTTGCCATGCGAAGCTGCAGTTTCCTAAGAAAAGGCAGTTACAAGTCACAAAAATAGCTGGGGAGGTATTACCACATCCGAGGCCATGTTGATATTGCACTGAGTTATTTAAAGAGTCTCTTTCCCTTGGTTATGGCATGTCAAGCGTGGGATACCTATGAAGCGGTTTGGCAAAAGCTCAGGCATTGAGACTGTTTTTTTGGAAGAGTCAAGATAAAATACAAATAAAAATGAGGGAGGATGCCCTTCCTCTACCCCTTCTTTGGTTAAGGTTCCATAAAATTATAATAACGGTGTTTAATTTATTGCTCACTGCAGGGACTAGAGGCAGATAGCTCCAAACTACGAACTTGGACCTGAACTGGAAGTTTCTCCTCTGAGAACTCACTTGTGTTCTCTCTGTGCAGAAACTGCAGGGATGGATATTTTGGCTCTCTCATAAAGACTGGTAGTATGTTTACACTTACAGTTTTCAAAATTCCAGCCTTAATCTCTTTCATGCTAATTATCCGAGAGTTCCTGCTCCAAGCTAGGTACCAGCAATGCCATTTTCATGCAATTGCAGTTGACAGCTTACTCTTTTGAAATAAAAATTTGCCAAGATCATAGAAACTTGCTGGGCTAGGGGGGAAAACCCAAGATATGAGACACACATGGGGCAGAATGCCATGATCATGTGGGGACCACAGTGTGTGAGCATTTCATAAGCCAGAAATATACTAGGGTCTATTGCATTGGTCAAGATAAACCTTTAGGCACTCACATCGGCTTTTTGTTATTCTTCTTCTTCTTTTCATTCTTTTTCTTCCTTCCTTCCGTTCTCTCTTTTCTTGCTGTTATTTGCAGTATTCAGGACCATTGTGGCATGCAGGATCTTTGGCTGCAGCATGTGAACTCCTAGTTGTGACATGTGGGATCTAGGAACCCGACCAGAGATCAAACCCAGGTCCTGTGCGTTGGGAGCATGGCATCTTAGCCACTGGACCGCCAAAGAAGTCCCCAGCTTTTTTCAGCCCTTACACACAAAAAAAGAAATATATCTAGCTATTTGACCTAAAGAATCCACTCACCTCCCTCTTTAGTGTCATGTGATAAGACCAGACTGAGGTGACTTTCGAGATTTGTCCGTGCTTCTGGAATGCCAGGGAGCGTTGGGTTATAACTGCCCATGTGTCGCCTCCAGCTATCTGCTGGGCTGCCTCTCTTCCTTCATATTCAGGTTAACCGTCACGGACTCCTGCGGTGCTCCTTATCTTTTCTATCACAGCACAGACTGGCCTTTCTGACTAATATGTACTAAATTAGCTTTGATTTTGTCTGAGAGCCTCTGGATTCATAAAATATGCCAGCTGGAAACTGACTCATCCAATTCAATTCCCAAACTTCAGAGAGCTATGGAAACTGTGAAAACCCTACAGGCTGGTGACTGGCAAAGCTAGAATGGGACGGGATTTCTGACTCTCCACTGGGGGCCACTTAGTCTACGGACGAGGGAGGGGCGCTGACTGTTCACCCATTTAGTCCATAACAGGCTTCTCCTTGTTTTAACCCTTCAGGTATTTCAGCAGAGGGGATCGTGTGGTGGCCATACAGAGCCATGCAATGATGTTTTTTTTCCCTGTGGACAACATCCTAACTCTCCTTTCCTCGATTTTCATGGCTGTTTCACCATGTGCCCTTCTGTAGCCGTGGAGCAGCCCTTTTCCCTTCTCTAAGAGCGTGCACCACAGGATGACTTCCGGCTTGCTTTTCCCAACGGAGGACACAGGTGCTACAGAAAGAGATGTCTCATGAAAAGGAATTTTGGTGTCACACAGCTTCTTCTTCATATCATAAAGGTGGGGTGCAGCTGAATAACAAAAACAAATATCTCAGGTGTTTGAACCAAGGTCTATGCATTCATTTATTTCTCAAGGTAGCAAGAAGATAAAACAAGTGAAATTACATCTATAATGAGTTACAAATGATAGTAAGCCCAGGAACCTTGATCATATATATCTATAAGGCAAATAAAACAAATATTTTTCAGAATGTGGGCATCACACTGTAGCTAACCTGAGGAGAGCCACTCCAAGCCCCCAACACCATGACGCCAAGAATCATTCTCAACCAATTGTTTTCCAAACAAAAGGTGAAAACGCAAAACTGTGATTAATAATAATAGAAGAAGAAAAATTTCATCCAGAAAGACTGGATGCCCGTCAAAGTCACATCTCTTCTTCTGATTCTTGTTCTTGTCCAGCATTTTTCAGGAGTCCAACTTCTGAGGGGCAGAACCTCGTAAATCGAGATTTAACCAACCTGAAGAGAATGAAAATCATCTCGTATTATGCTGTTTAAAATTAAACCCCCAAATTATCTGTATCCATAATGCAACAAACTCCAAATTATCTGTGCAAAGGGAAGAGGTACCCCCAAAAAGAAAATCACTTTTATTTGTCTCTGGAGCTACCTGCGAACATTTTGTGGATTAAAGCTGCATATAAGCAAACAGATACAATAAAGCTCTAATATGTAACATGATTGTTTGCATCATATTCAAAATGCATAACGTTAATAATTTCTAAAACAACCAAGAGAATCTCTGGGCTGAAGTCAGCCCAGACAAAAGAGCTCAGCGTTAAAGAAGCCCTAAGAAGGAAACACACAGAGGCTTCTCCTCCCCCGCGTCGAGCCCTAAGTCAGAAGTCTGGGCTCTGCTGCAGCCCTTACTGCGTCTTCAGAGAGCTGCTTCTGTGCTGGCCCCAAGCTGCTCTATTGCATGTGATGGTCCTGGATGCATTCAGAAGTTGAAAGAAGTGACCTCTATGCTTCTAACTATTTTCATAGATTAAGAGACTCTGTAGGTGGGGTCGGGAAATTATCATTTTGGCACTGGAAGATATGAAACTTCCTGGCGGCACAAACTGAGCAGGCTCCTGACTTCTCTGATGTAAGAAAAACTAGGCAAAGCTTTTCCTGTGCAGGATGATTGTGAAGCCATCTCGCTGTGACTATGTCAATAAAACACAGCTAACTTTCAGAAACACACAACATGGAAACAAACTGATAAATAAAATCATTCTCATTTTTTGAAAAACTGTCACTATCTACACAGATAGATACAGATCTATCTATCTATTTTCTGCCTTTCTTCTCCCAGTGAAGGTCTGGCCCACCCCTCACAATATATCTAGTTTTTACTTGTGCGCTGGATCTCACTAGAGTATGAACTTCCTAAGAACGGAGACTTCATCTTATTTACTGCCCTAACTCTTGTCAGAGTCTAGAACGATGTCTGGTACACAGTGCCTCATCACTTACTTAATGATTTAGTGGGCTTGTGGAACAATCTCCCAGGAGCTTATATCACTCATCTTGTTGCTGTTTGTTCAGTCACTCAGTCGTGTCAGACTCTTTGGGACCCCATGCACTACAGCATGCAAGCTTCCCTGTCCTTCACTGTCTCCAGAGTTTGCTCAAACTCAGTCCTTTAAGTCAATGATGCCATCCAGCCAGCTCATCCTCTGTTACCCGTTTCTCCTCCTGCCCTCAATCTTTCCCAGCATCAAGGTCTTTTCCAATGAGTTGGCTCTTCACATCAGGTGGCCACCAGAGGTAATTCTTCAGTCACTTGCAACTCACCATTAATTCCTCCAACACACAACTGAGCAATATCAGTAACATCTATTGACTTATCAGGAGCCAAGAAAAACTACTCAAAATCATTTGCCTTGACAATTAACCAACCACTGACCTTGCTCCCAATGTCCTCAACTCTTCAAGGCACGATTCTCACGAACAGCTAATGCTTCTAACTAAGACAACTGGGACAGTGTGTCCTTTTTAAACCCACACAGTCACCTCCATATTGCAAAACCTGAATATGTGCTAAATGAAAGGAATTAATTTGTTACTTCATTCATTAGACTTATTCCTGATGACTCCTAGAAAATAAAACAAAGAACTGTCTACTTATTACCAACTAACTGTTAACACAGAATCTAAGGACTCCTCCTGTTCCCCACATCTGCTCTCTGAGTTGTATCTGTTGCTGCTGTTGTTCAGTTATAAGTTGTATCCAACTCTTTGCAACTCCATAGACTACTGCATGCCAGGCTCCCCTGTCCTTCACTATCTCGGGGAGTTTGCTCAAGCTCATATCCATTGAGTTGGTGATGCCATCCAATCATCTCATTCTCTGTCACCCCCTTCTCCTCCTGCGCTTAATCTTTCTCAGCATCAGGGTCTTTTCCAATGAGTCGGCTCTTCATATCAAGTGGCCAATGTATTGGGGTTCAGCTTCAGCATCAGTCCTTCCAATGAATATTCAGGACTGATTTCCTTTAGGATGGACTGGTTGGATCTCCTTGCAGTCCAAGGGACTCTCAAGAGTCTTCAGCACCACAGTTTGAAAGCATCAATTCTAGGGCATTCAGCTTCCTTTATGGACCAACTCTCACATCCATACATGACTACTGCAAAAACCATAGCTTTGATTATACAGACCTTTGTTGGCAAAGTAATGTCCCTGCTTTTTAATACGCTGTCTAGGTTGGTCATAGCTTTTCTTCCATGGAGCAAGCGTCTTTTAATCTCATAGCTACAGTCACTGTCCACAGTGATTTTGGAACCCAAGAAAGTAAAATCTGCCACTTTTTCCCCATCTATTTGCCATGAAGTGATGGGACCAGATGCCATGACCTTAGGCTTCTGAATGTTAAGTTTTAAGCCAGCTTTTTTGCTCTCCTCTTTAACCTTCATCAAAAGGCTCTTCAGTTCCTCTTCACTTTCTGCCATTAGGGTGGTATCAGAATGAGGGATAGAGTAATAAAAGGAAGTGCAAATAATTGTTAGTTCCTGGAATCATGCAAGTCCAGGAAATTAAGGTCAGGGTGTGTCGGCTTTTGTTCCCACTTGGTCTCTTCAGTTAATATAAGAGCAGAGCTAAGATTCTGGGTATACTTCCAGAGTCGATCTGGAAATCAAACTTTCAAAAGGCAAACTACAATCTGATATGAATTTGGTCATTTCTATTTTGTTCTTTAATATGGCTCACAAGAGTCATCTCCTTGAAGACCAACCTGAAAATGGGTAATGTTTCTCCGTCCACCCAGAGGGGCTTTTGAAATAGTTCTGTACCACAGTAGTGTTATATAGGAAATACAATAAAGATTTCATAAAGATAGGCCTGTCCTGTGAGCTGTCATGAGGAGAACAGCAGGCATGGGACTAGATGAGGCAATCCTTAATTCATTATTCTGGAAAGCTGAAAAGCACGGCTTCATTTTTCAGAGATTTTGGAGGTAGGAGTTTCATAACCCAGTTTTGTTTCCATGGTGATCTTTGGGTTCTGTCAAGTAAATTCTGATAGAATGTCCTTAAAACCCATCAGCTGTGACTGAGTTACAATCCAGTTCACAGTCAAACCATGATGAACAGATTTTCAAAACTCATCATGACTACAGGAATTACATATGACCTCACTGAAAGTATTGATTCTTCATGATATTCTTTAAGCTACTGCTTAACGTTGCATAAAAATATATTAGAACACAAGTTCTTGGCCTTATATTTCAAGAGCAATATGATAGTGAAACTTAAAAGCATATAAAACATGATTTCCAAACAATTGAACACTATTTGAGTAGTCCTGAAACAGATCTGTTAAAACAGAAATAAGTGTCTATTGAGTACCTATATAATTTTGACAGTATGATGAGAGCTGTGAGAGATATGAAAAAGGTCTCTTCCTGCAGGTGAACAATCTAGTTAGCAGATAAGACTAACGTGAGCTAATAGTAAATATCACAAGATAGATCACAACTGTTAAAATGTGTTTTAGAGATTAAAGTACTGTAAAACTCATGAAGGGAGATAAGCAAAGACTAAAACAATCACAGAAGTTTTCGCAGGAGAGCATTTAATTGGGATATGACAGGTAGAGGTAACTATGTGGTTAATAAGTCAAAGGTTCTGGGTAAGGAGAGGCAATTGAAATAGTAAACATGGAGTTTTTGGTTTCTAGAAAACTATAGGTGGATAAGAGATTCATTAGTGGTCTGAAGGTTTTTGAAACAGGAAGAGACAATAGTCTTCTTTTGGCTCTGGATGGGAGCTGACATGGGGTAGAGAGATTGCTTGAATGCCGGCATTATTCTTGGAGGCTGCCCAGCCCCTAAGGAGATGAGGCCCAGAAGTCAGCCTAAAACAACAGAGGAAGAAGTCAAGTTTCACTCAATGACAGAGTGAGCCTTAACCACCAGCGCATACACACGCTTTGAGGGAACTGAATAGGGCTAATAGAAATCACTCAGTGGGAAGGTAGAATTTCCCAGCATTCATGGCACTTGGACCTCTGTACTATGCTGTGCTTAGCTGTCAGTTGTATCTGACTCTTTGAGATCCTACGGACTGTAGCCCGCCAGGCTCCTCTGTCCGTGGGGATTCTCCCGGCAAGAATACTGGAATGGGTTGCCATGCCCTTCTCCAGGGGATCTTCCTAACCCAGGGATCGAACCCATGTCTCCCGCATTGCAGGTGTATTATTTATCGTGTCAGCCACCAAGGAAACTTAGACCTCAAGTAGGAAGTAACTACAGATCAAGGTAGGCTGACCAAAAATATACGAGAGACAGAATGGGAGCTAGACCAGGAAAAGACTTCCTCACCCAGAGACACAACACCAAAGCTCTTTAGCAGTGAAGCTCAAAGAAGCATGGAGCAGGAGAGATAACATGGGTAAATGTCTAGGGAAAGGACTAGAAAGCTAGCTCAGGCAGAGTCTGAGACCCTTCTGGTCTAGAATAAACTACTGTAATTTAGGGATTTAGAAAACATGCTAGATGTGTACTATCCAAGATAGTATCACTGTGCGTAACATGTCCGCCTGCAATGCAAGAGACCTGGGTTCGATACCTGGGTTGGGAAGACCCCCTGGAGAAGGGCATGGCAACCCACTCCAGTGTTCTTGCCTGGAGAATCCCCATGGACAGAGGAGCCTGGTGGGCCACAATCCATGGGGTTGCAAAGAGTTGGATAGGGCTGAGCAACTAAGCATAGCACAGGCACATGTCAAGCGCTCAATAATCACACACAGCTCATGTCTATATGATGACCATAGATATAGAACAATCTTTAATCAATGCTAAAGTCTGAAGGATTGGAGCCTGCATGATTAATAGTTGGAATCAGCCAGGCCAACTGTGGTTTGGCATTAGCTACCATGGTAATAGAAATAATAAGAAACCATACTCACTTCTTTCATGCCTACTATCCTTCAAGCTTCAGTTTAATTCTCAATTGTGAGGAGGCCTCCTCTG